GGGCCCGCCTGGCTGGGATGTGCCCGTCAGGCTCCATCTCGGCTCCCTGCCCTCCTGGCCTGCTCTTCCCAGCTGTGTGCTGTCATGCTGCTGAACAAACAGATTCCATATCTGTACTTTTCTTCAACAAGTGTGTTTTTGAGGTTTGATGGGATGTTACTGAGTTATTGTACTTACCTGATGGGGAAGAGGTAGTATTTTTACTTTAAATATTTGCCAGAACTTTGTTGCATGCAGTGACTTCTGTTACTTATCTTTTGATCTTTGCCCTATCATGCAACAGCAAGAGTTGAGCTATTTGCATTTTAATCTAGGCTGGCTCACACGTTTTACTGTGTGTACCTTCTGTATGTTGAGAAAGAAAAAGTTCTGGGTAAGGTCCAGACATATCTTTCTATAGTGTTTAAAAAACCTTCTACTTATTATATTAAAGGCACTTTAACTGTGTAAATATGTATTTAATTTAACTTTCCTGAAATTATATTAGCTCCAAAGTGATCTAAATTTTACAGCTTTTTGTTTGTTAAGGAATATGTAGGTAGTTTTTCTGTTTTCTCTGAGGCAGGGCGGTATCTGTAGGGGCAAAAAAGTGAGGAGGACATGCAAGCTTTATGCTGTTGTGGAAGGGTTAGATTTCCAAGAAAATATATATGTAGTATAACTTCTGAAAATGGTAAAGGAAGAACTCTTTAGCTTTCACTCTCAGAACATGCACTTTGCTGATGCTACTCTAAGAATGTATGTGGAGAATTTGAACTACTAGAAGCAGCAAAGGACTGGGAACAATCAGTAACTAAATCAAAAGCAGGACTGGCTGTCTTCATTAAGGCCACACTGATATTTCTTAGAGCCTTTGCTTTACTTTGAGAAGGATAACAAATCCATTATTAAGCTTGATTTATCACTGATTTAAAGTTACCTGGCAGTGGAAAGAAAATAACTTTTGAGATATTAATATAAGTTACTGTGACACTTCCATCAGCCTTTGTTTGTGTTTGGGACTTGGGACATGGTTAAGGGACCATCTTTGCCAAACCTGCATTTCACTCTGCTGCTCATCTAAGTTTCAGATGCTGGTATGTTAGGTTTACGCAGAGTCAATCCTGTGGGTTTTTCTGGCTTATGTGGTTTGTGTAATGTGATAATTTATTTGGTGAACTAAAATAAATTATCAGATTAAGAAATAACGTCTCAGGTCATGCTCATTATCTTTTGGTTTTGATCAATACTGATAAAACAACATGGTTTAGTGTTGCACTGAGTAGCAGTAGGATGCTGAATGGTTTAAAGTGGATGTTGGATACACTTGATCTTTCACATAACATTAGTTGATGGGCTTATTGCCAGTTGTTGGCTGATGACAAACTCGGCAACCTGTTGTAAGGAAAACTGCATCAGACTTATGGTGAGAAATGGCACAGACCAAGTATATTGTTATTGACAGGAGTGGTTTTGGTGCTCTGCAGTGGCAGCATGGAGTGACCTGATTTCTGCAAAATGTTAACTTTCAAAACATAGTAACACAGCAGTTACAAATGCAGTGTTACTATAATTTCCAAAGCAAATCTTACCCGTACAAGAGCATATTAAACTGTGTCAGGTGGTAGCGTAAAACTAGAAAATTTGTTTGAATTTTAAGAAAAGTAATTTCATTTATACTGCATATGATATAAGTGCTGCTAATCAACACAGAAAACACTTTTTCCTTGCCATTGTAGAGCAACCACAGGGCTACAACCAAAAATGGAAAATCAAAAGGTGCAGAAAAAACAGTGTGGTAAGATACCTAATATAATTTGTCGTTTATTATCTGCATCAATTTTATACACTTTAATACACTGCAGTGGGTCTGTCATGGGGTTGTGAACTGCTGGGTAAATGTTCTTTTGCCTTGTTGCCGTATTTCTGGATTCTCTATTGGATAGCTACAGAGCAAATCTAATTACAACTTTAACAAGAACTAATACCACCATAAACTCACCTCCTTTTTGCTAGTATTTACACACATCTTTATTAACTTTTAACTTATTTAAGAAATCCCAGACCTTAAAAGAGTTTAAAATACCAATCTGACTCAAGATGCTACCAGCTGTGGTGATTAAGTCTTCGGTAA